TACCAATGTAGTCATGGAGGAACAATCCCCATCAAAGAGAATCAATACAGGTATGCATTTGCATGCAATTGAATCTGTACAAAATTCATCTTTTTTGTTGGGTTTTACTCAAGACTTTGAAGCAATTGCAGGTTCTATTGCCAAATCTAAAAAAATAAAATTACAAGAAACATCTTCTAGTAAAAATGACTCAAAAACGAGTGAAAAAAGATGATTATGTTACAATGGACAAAGAGAAAGCAGAAGATTTTGAGGTATAACCCTATTTTCATTTTTTTTTCTTCAATTTGTATATGGGCAATTTAACTTGTATCACACAATAGATGGATTGTTAGTTCAGTAATTTGTATATATTACATTATCAAGAACAGCAGATGTATGTGTTTCAACTATTATTTGTATAATTTCAGCATTATTGAGAAGTTTGGATAATTTGTTTTGTATACTTTACGATTCTATGGGATTTAGCATATCTATGTTTGTTGTTGTTTTTATACTTTTTAGACCTTATTGTATATTTTCAACAATTATATACAATTTTTTTTGTATTTTTATATTATTAGCAAGTAGGCGTTTTAACTATTATTTGTATAATTTCAACATTACTGAGGAGTTTGTATAATTTGTTTTGTATACTTTTTGTGATTTGTATTTCTATCAATACATTTCTCATTTAATTGTATACGATTCTATGGATTTAGCGTAACAGTGTTTATTGCAGCTTTCTTACTTTTTAGACCTTATTTGTATATTTTTCATCAATTATATACAATTATTTTTTTGTATTTGTATATTATCAACATGTATACGTTTCAGCTATTTATTTATATAATTTCAGCACACACACACACACACTTATATATGTTAAATTTATCTTTCTTTATTTGGTAAAAGTCATATTTGGTAAGAAATTCTAATCACATACAATAATCATGATTTGTGGGATTGTTTTCCTTTTTAATAAACTAAATTTTTGCCTCATTAATTAAGTTAAGAGTCTAATTTGTACAAAAAAAATAAATTTCTAGAAAGATATACAATAGCTATTGAAACTATAACTATGTTACGTAATTAGGAAAACTATAAGTTATTTATGAAATTTTTCCTATTTTTTATGAGGCCCAATACACTATCTATTGAAGTCATTTTCCTCTATATAATTTGTTTCAATTCCTCACAAAAGTATTCTCTGTGATTCATCTCCTTGTTTGATCTTCTGTGCCATGGCTTCATCTTCATCTCTTTCTCTACCAGCTTCTCACGAAAAAAAAGTTGAGGAGTCTGAGTTTCTGTCATCTTCTCTTGGCAACAACAAAGTACCTTTACTTCGCAATAAAAAAAAATTGGTGAGTCTAAATTCAAGTCCGAGTCTAAGTCACCTCTCCTCCACAACAACAACAAAAACATTGGGTCGTCTTCATCTTCTGTTGGGTCATCTTTACTTGCCCTCCAAGAAAATGTTGTTGAGTTGATAAAACTTGAGTTGATAGAATCGAACCTTCAACTCGAAATGTTGAAAACCCAAAAACACGCTGATGATATAATGAATGGACTAGTAAACCACATGGGATTTTTGCTTTTGTACACCATGGATGGTTTGACACTTCAAGTATCAGACCACGTTGGTTGTTTGGGTGCATGGTTTACCATGCTCATTGTGACGCAAACTTTCGGAGTAGGCTTGACAATGGGTTACAAAATGACAAAATTAAAATTGGAGAGAATGCAGTTGATTATTAGGAGTTGAACTAAAAAAATTAATGCTCCAAGACTGAAGTTTTTTATTCTGAGAATGGGAGGATAGAAATGGCTCGTGGCGCCGGCGCCGATGGTGATGTGAACCCACTGGCTCTAGAATAGGGGGCACTGATGCAGATGATGATGCACAACAACTTAGTAATATGGTGAGAGCTGCATGAGTTGTCTCACGAGCTACTGTATTGATTAATTCAAGTGACATGACCGTGTTTGATGATATCAATCGAAAAAAATGTTTAGATACATTTCGCTTGTGGAATCGTTTATCTCTGGGTGGTTGGGATATTTTTCATTTTCAACAACACATATTCTTTTTTTTCGATCATTTTGGTTGCAGGATTAGGACATATTTATGTCACATTGAAGATTGAAAAAAATCTTTTGTTTGATTGTTTTTGCCAAAGTAATTTTTCTTTTCTTTTGGTGTAAAGAAGGCATGACATTTGCCAAAGTGTTAAGTCTAGTATTTTTCTTTTAATTTTGTGTAAAGAAGGCAATTTGTGTATGTAATAAGAAGTTATTAATACTAATTAATTAGCTTTGTTTAATTCTAAATGTCCAAAAGTATTTACCAGGTGTTATTGCTGCAACGTATAGGGCTAGTGTGATCATTAATAACATAAATAGAGAATATGTTGTAGTCCTTTACTAGAGAAATATTCACCACAGCTATCTATATTAAGAAACATCAGACATGTGATTTGTAAATTAGGTTGAAAGAGGAAAGGTCAAGTTGTGATATTGGACTCATGAGTATAAAGTGTTCTTTTTGTTTTTGTTTTTCTAAGAGATCATTCTCCGGACATTTTTTTTAGTTTGGGATTGGGGAGAGGTTAGATTAGGGGGACCATTACCATAATTTCTATTAGTGAACTCAATAACAAACAAAATGTTTAAAGGTATAAACAGATTTAGCAGATAAGAGAACCAAAGATAATATTAAATAAACACCATTTGCTTACCTAATTAGAAACAGAACGAATAGGTACCATCTATTTCTCAAACAGTAGGAAGCAGTGAGACAATGATCACTAATATTCAATGCACATGAAATTCTCGAAATTAGTATAAAAGCGAGAAAGCAAAGCAACAACCAAAAGAGGTATACATAAGCTACTTACCAAGCACTCCGGTGATCACAATAGAATATGAAAATATGATCATTTGGACCACTATTCACCACCTTTCGCTACCTCCAGTAAGAGAAGGTTTGTTAACAAGTGGATCACAAACAAAGGGCGCTCAAGAACTCCATGTGGCTTGATGTATCTATCATAACACTAAGAAGAAGAAAAAAAACAAATGTTTTATGTATTGCTCCTTTATATCGTGAGCTACCTCGCCAAACCTTAAATATTTTGAGACATAGGTGTTATTCATTTGATGATCAAAATATTTTATAGCAAATTAGGGTAACCCTAACAAGAATAAACAAGTATTTTATGGTCTTATCTATTAAAAAGACATTGAATTATAATTTACATTTTACACAATCAAATTTATAACTTGATCCAAAGTTTAGTCTAACACGTTTTCTCACTTTGAAGACAACCTAATAAATGGATCAATGGAAGCCATATAATTAATATTAATGGTATCTATTAAGCACAAATTAAATTGTGGTTATCACATTCACTATTTAGTAGCAAATTAGAGTAAATAAGAATATACAATCATGAACTTAGAGGGTGTTGAATTGACTCAAAAGTTGATCAAATCTCCATCTAAGATAAATTTTGACTTTTGAAAGTGTTTGACAAATATAAAAAATAACTTAAAATAAGTTGACAAGTGTTTGACAAAGTCAAAAATGACTTAAAATAAGTCAAAAATCAAAAGTAAGTCTCCCCCTACTTTTTATTTTTGACTTAAAAGTCATTTCAGTTTGACTTTTTATTTTTGAGTTAAATACTATTTTTTTAGGTCAATCCAAACGGGCGCTTAATGGCTTATCTATTTTTTTAGTTATAAAAATAATATATCATTTTGGATTGAGTATGAAAACAGAAAAGGGATCAAATTATTATTTGTAGTTGAGTCGGGTCTGAGATGAACTCGGAGAGGTAAAAAAATTGTATTTTTAAAGTTACGTGATATTTTTGAAATTAGAAAATTAATTTAAAATTATTTTTTAATTCAATTTGTTAAGAAAAGGGATAAATGTATATATCAGTTGTTAAACAACGGGGAGATATATATGCATTATTTGTCTAACAAGAAGGTATATATGCATTATTTTTAACTATGAATATATATGCTCTAAATCACAAAATTGCGGAATATATTTATCCCTTTTCCTCTACCCTCGTCGAGCGATAATTGAACTACTAACAGATTAATTTTACAATTTTTTTTGGTAAACAATCATATTGAAATATATACTCTTTTTATTTTAATTTATGTGATATCATTTTATTGAGCATAGAATTTAAGAAATAAGGAAATCTTTTATTATGTTTACTGAATTATCCTTGTTAAAGCACTTTAATGTTTATTTTAGTTGATTTTTCTTCATAATAAAATGTCAAGTGAGATCCAATAAAAATAAAGTAGAATGATGTTATTAAATAGCGCTATCAACTAAGAAAAAATAATATATATTTTTAAGCAAATAAAAAAGATTGTCACATAAATTAAGATCAAAAGAACCATTATAGAACTATTAAGATATTGATTTATCGGTTATCGGTTATCGGTTCGTAGACATGTTAAACCATTATGGAACCATTAAGATATTGCTTTATTGGTTACCGGTTTATTGATTGTTGATCATTACCCACTCAGTTATCAGTTTAACCGTTAAAATTTGACACAAAAAATAAATGATTGAAAATCATATAGAAATATCATGACAAATCAAACAAACCATACACATGAGTTGATAAATTACGTTTTTTTTAAAAATAACACTGACACATTGTAGAACAATCGAAAGTTTGAGACTGTCACAAATAAAAAAATATGAAACTAAATCCTACCGAATGATATAAATATAATATATTAATTTACAGTAGGATTATATGTTTAACACTTAAAGAAAAAACCTCAAAATATTAAGAATCAGCAACCTGAAAATAAAAAAAATCAGAACTATTATCAAAATCATTAAACTAATAGCCCATTACCAATAAATCAATTACTTTTCTTAGATTCAGATTATTAATTTCGATTCAGTTTTGAATAGTCTAATAGCACACTTAAGTTTATGTGATCATACAAGTAATATAGTATGAATATGATTACACAGTCAACTAAATTAAACCAGTGCTAAGCTGCTAATTATCCTGCCATGGCAGTTTGGTGGCGGAATATAAGCAGCTTAAGGAGGCAGCTAAGCTATCTGTATAGCAGAGACATTGCACCATATATAATTGTTCAACAATCAGTTCAAAAAATACGTTATCATTCAACATTGAGGCGCAAGATTTCTGATGCTGCTCCAGATATACGTAGAGCGAACAAGAACATCACGAATTTGATTCGAAATGGTCGATTAGAGGATGCACGGGAATTATTTGATAAGTTAACACATCGAAATACAGTTACTTGGAACTCAATGATTAGTGGGTATGTGCAACAGCGTGAGATTGTGAAAGCACGGTACCTGTTTGATGAAATGCCGCAGAGGGATGTTGTTTCTTGGAATTTGATGATTTCTGGTTATTTGTCTTGTAGAGGGAAAGGGTATTTGGAGGAGGGTAGGAATCTGTTTGATGAAATGCCTGAGAGAGATTATGTTTCTTGGAATACTATGATTAGTGGGTATGCTAAATGTGGGAGAATGGGTGAAGCGTTGGAGATTTTTGAATGTATGCCTGTGAAGAATGTTGTGTCTTGGAATGCGGTGATTTCGGGTTTTTTGCGTAATGGTGATGTGAAAACTGCTGTTGAGTATTTTAAGAGAATGCCGGAGAGGGATTCGGCTTCTTTTAGTGTACTTGTATCGGGTTTGATACAGAACGAGGAATTGGATGAGGCGGAACATTTTCTTTATGAATTTGGAGAGAGTAGTGATGGGAAAGAAGATATGGTTCATGCGTATAACACTTTGATTGCTGGATATGGTCAGAAAGGAAGAGTTGGTGATGCTAGACGCATTTTTGATAAAGTTCCATCTTGTAGTGGTCAGGGGATTAGCAAAAAGAAGAGATTTGAGAGGAATGTCGTATCATGGAATTCCATGATCCTGGCTTATAGCAAAGCAGGAGATATGGTTTCTGCTAGAGAACTTTTTGATCAGATGACGGAGAGGGATACATTTTCATGGAACACAATGGTTTGTGGCTATGTCCATGCCTCAAATATGAGTGAAGCATCAAATCTGTTTTCTAAAATGCCAAATCCTGATGTACTAACATGGAATTCAATGATCTCTGGATATGCACAGGCGGGAAAGTTGGAATTGGCACGTGATTATTTTGAAAGGATGCCCCACAAGAATCGGGTTTCTTGGAATTCAATGATCTCGGGGTGTGAAAGAAATGCAGACTATGAAGGAGCAATAAAGTTATTTAGGGCGATGCAACAGGCAGGAGAGAAACCTGATAGACACACACTCTCCTCACTTCTAAGTGTTTGTGCTGAAACTGTGGCATTGTTCCTGGGTATGCAGATTCATCAGTTAGTGACAAAGACTGTTATACCAGATATACCTTTAAACAATTCCCTAATAACTATGTATGCAAAATGTGGCAAAATACATGAAGCAAGGGCAATTTTTGAAAAGATGAAATTTCAAAAGGATGTAATCTCATGGAATGCAATGGTCGGAGGATATGCATCTCATGGTTTTGCATTTGAAGCGCTAGAGCTTTTTGAATTAATGAAGTGCCTTAAAGTGAGGCCAACTCACATCACATTCATTTCAGTTCTGAATGCATGTGCTCATGCTGGTTTAGTGGAACAAGGTCGGTTATATTTTAAATCTATGGAATCTGAATTCGGCATCAAACCTGAGATTGAACATTTTGGCTCCCTTGTGGATATTGTTGGTCGAGATGGGCAGTTTGAGGAGGCCATGAAAGTGATTAACACTATGCCAGTGGAGCCAGATAAGGCTGTCTGGGGTGCAGTACTAGGTGCTTGTAGGGTGCACAACAATGTTGAGTTGGCACGAATAGCAGCTGAAGCGCTAATGCGCCTTGAACCAGAGAGTTCAGGCCCTTATGTTTTGCTTTATAACATGTATGCGGATGCTGGAAGGTGGGATGATGCAAATGAAATTAGAATGTTGATGGAAACAAATAAGATAAGGAAGGAGCCCGCTCATAGCAGGGTCGGCTCTACTTCCTCATAGTGATTTCCGAAATTGTGAATCTTGATCACTCGAAGAATTTGGATTGAGTTGACTATGTTGGGGTTTAAGTCATTAGAAGGAAGACGTCACATGCAGTGTCCTGCTGAGCATTTGCAGTATTCCTTGCTTTGACAAATAATGCAACAATGCCGTTAAACCCCTATTTGATGTTTGGAGCATTTATGTCTGCAGTTTTAGTGTTGGAGTTCAAAGAATTGAGCATAGTGAATTCTAGTGAGCCAGAAGCTTGTTTCATGAAGAAACACCACTAACACAACATCAACTCTACTGATAACATTGCATGATCGCCAGGTTCGTTTGTGACTTTTATCTATAGTTGTTATAAAATAACAAACACATATAAGACGACAAATATAGAGAACAAATTTTTGAGGCATTTTATATCCCTTGAAGTTAATGTATTCGAAAAATTGATTTTGTTCTTTATTTGTGTATATATATAAAAGAACTACCGCAAGACTTTTCAAAAAATTGCTGCCTGTTTTTTTGGAGGAGCATATTGCAGGCTTCCAACAGAAGCTACTTGCTTGATTGCAAGTCTCTGGAGGAAGCTACTACAAGACTTTCAATAGTTGCTTGTAAGCTGCACGAGCAACTTGTTTAAACTAGTAACTTATTTAAATATACATTCACAATGTAATGTATTTACCTTTTTTATCTTCCATAATTAGTTGTTTTCTTCATTCAATCTTTGGCTCTCTCTCTGGTAAAGTTGTCTATCTTCTCGTTTTTTTTTATGACAAGGGAAACCCGCAACCGCTACCCTTTGGGTGCACACAGGGTAAAACCCCCGCTCCTATGCAATAGCTCGCAAACCACATAGGAGAGGTAACCCACACTAGGCAAGCCCGGTGTGACGAGCTTGACCCAGAAGGCAAACCCCTTGCTTTCGCTGGCAAGGGGTTTCCAACTTGAGACCTCCAACATGGAAGTTTCAAGCCCAAACCACTGGGCCACCCCGAAGGGTTTGTCTATCTTCTCGTCTTTGTATCTGGCCTTAACTTCAATGGCATAATGTATTGAGATCATAAATAATCCATGATGATAGAAATTGGGATATACCTAGTTCATAATGCTAGAAATTTAGGATAGCCAAGCCCCTATTAGGACAAAGGGAATACCTCTATGACTTGCACCTTGAGTTCTGGTTTATTTAATTTTGCGTAGAACTCGAAGAAATCCTAATCCTTCTTCCCTCTTGATTAGCTTTTCATGAGCTCGATTCATGATAAAAGAAATAAGAACATTTAAAGAAAAGAATCAAATATTTTATTTTTTTTTAATTTGGTAATAACAAGCAATTTACAAATCTATGTCATAGAACTAAGAGTTCCTAATCTTTGGACTTTGTATGAAGTTCAACTGGAGAGTTACTTTTGTTTGCATTTTGCTTCCTGATATTTATGGTTCTTCCTCCACAATTATTGGTTTTTTATTGCTTACTGGAGAATGGAGATGACCATGTCATTGCTCTAATTCATGTCAGGCAACACTGCTCTCTGACATCAAGCATTTCCACCTGAACAATCAGAAAAGAGATCAAAGCTTATTAGGATGGAGAACGTTAACATCGATGCCAATGCTCCAACTCCTCAACATGTATTCAAATAACTGAAGAGGAACATGTGGGGTTTGAGGATGATGCTGAGAAGCTAATTCATTTACTGACTAAAGAAACAGAGGATTTGGATAGTATATCTATTGTTGGCATGCCTGGTCTAGGGAAGGCAACTTTGGTCACAAAGATATTCAAAGATCCTTCTATTGTTTTGTCGCTTTGACATTCGAGCATGGTGTACTTCCTCACAAACAAATAATATGACAGCTGTTATTGACATGTTTGGGCAAGTCGCCGGTGTGCAAGCACCATGTGCATTCCAGTGACGGTCTGGCTGATATGTTGTGCAAATCTTTGATAGGCAAATAATATCTCATTGTGTTGGATGATTTGTGGGAAGTCGAGGCGTGGGGTTAGTTAAGATTATGTTTTCCAGTTGGTGGAAATGGAAGCAGAATTATCGACTTAAACAAGTAGCAGAAGAACTCATGCGACATGATGATCCATAGTCTTGGATTCGTTTGAAAATGTTGCTGAAGTAACTGAAAAGGAAACTTTGCTCCCTGAACTCCGGGTGCTGGAATGCAAGTTCATTTGAAGATATCGTGGGTTTGTCAATGTAGTGATGAATATTTTTCCCCAAGGAAAACATGTATTAAGCGAGGTATTGATCCCTAGTCCTCTAATCGTTTGGTATAGTGTATTAATAAAAATAATGCATCTATTAACTATGTATATTAGTAATATCTTATTTGGTACTCATTTTTTCATGCTATGTATAACTAATGTTTGCTCTATTGTGTATTAAAATGTGTATTACTAATACCATGAATTTCTAGCTACAAGTAATGCAAGAATTTTAATGTGCATTAGCATGGTTAAAGACTTCACTTCCTTGTGAAGGGTATCTTATACACCAAACCAAATCATTCATAAGAAATAATCTATATATATATTTTTATTTTTATTTTTACCGTGGTTTCCGGGCGTCGCTTTGCGAACCCGACTAGCTGTACCCACCGGGTCCCGCTGTTTCAAGGCGGGTCCACCACGGTTAGTTCCCCGGGGCCCTGGAGACGCGGCCGGTTTGTAATGCCTCCAGTGGCCCTGCTGGGGCTCGAACCGGCGACCTGAAGGACTTTGTCCCAGGCCTTTACCAGTTGAGCTACCCCTCAGGGTTAGAAATAATCTATATATGATTATCGCAAGTATTATTAATACACTTTATTTAACTTTATTCTTATACGCTTTACCAAATGTCCCCTTTTAACCTTCCTCTCTCCCCCACCCCCACCCACTCACCCTCTTTTTGGAATCTTTTCCCACAGGAATCTTTATTTGCTCAGTGCATCAGTGCCCAGTGCCCACTTCTTTCACACTCACTCCATCAAGATTTGCCATTGATGGATTTCAAGCTCCTCTCTGTTCTCATCTTCCACTACTTCCTAATCAATTCATCAACAATCTATGCATCTCTTCCACTCCCTAAACAATCTCTCCCCACTAAGTCCGGCTACCTCACCGTCAATGACACAACCAGCTCCGCCATTTTCTACACATTCTACGAAGCTCAAAATCTCACCACACCTCTTTCTCAAACCCCACTTCTCATTTGGCTTCAAGGCGGACCTGGATGCTCCTCTATGCTCGGAAACTTCTACGAATTAGGTCCTTGGCGAGTCTCTTCTTCTCACAGACAAAACGTCGAACATGTAGAGCTCAATTATAATCCTAGATCTTGGAATCGGATTTTTGGGCTGCTTTTCCTTGATAATCCAATTGGTGTTGGATTTAGCATTGCTGCAACACCTGAAGAAATCCCGAGGAACCAAAAAGACGTGGCGAAGCACTTATATATCGTGATCAAAAAGTTTATCGAGCTGAATAAATCATTCAAGGATCGGCCTATTTACATCACGGGTGAGAGTTATGCTGGCAAATATGTGCCAGCAATTGGATATCAAGTTTTGAAGAAAAATGTCAGGTTGCCGGTTCGTAGTAGAGTGAATTTGGTTGGTGTTGTCATTGGTAACGGGCTAACTGATCCGATTAGCCAAGTGGCTACTCATGCTGCAAATGCGTATTACTTTGGATTGATAAATGACAAACAAAGGGGACAACTAGAGTTGCTTCAAGAAAAGGCGATTTCATTGGCAAAGAATGGTGATTGGAGTGAAGCAACGAATGCTCGAAGTAAAGTCTTGAACACATTACAAAACATGACTGAAATGCCAACTTTGTATAACATTAGAAGGCATAAGCCATACCAAAACCATTTGGTAGCGGAGTTTTTGAACAATGTTGAGGTGAAAAAGGCGTTAGGAGTGAATGAAACTATTGTTTTTGAGGTGTGTAGTAAGGTGGTGAGGGAAGCATTACACGAAGATTTGATGAAGAGTGTGAAGTATATGGTGGAGTTTCTTGTCAAGAATACTAAAGTTTTGTTGTATGAAGGTCAGTTGGATTTGAGAGTTGGCTTAGTGTCAACCGAGGCGTGGGTGAAGAGAATGAAGTGGGAAGGAATCGACAAGTTCTTGGAAGCAGATAGAAAAGCTTGGAGAGTTAACGACGAGCTAGCAGGGTATGTGCAGAAATGGAGGAACTTAAGCCATGTTGTGGTATTGGATGCTGGGCATTTGGTTCCACATGATCAACCATTGAATTCTCAGGCCATGATTGAAGATTGGGTACTTGAAAAGGGAGTTTTTGCTAATGATCAAATTGAAAACTTGTCCACCAATTTGTTTGATGTTCTTTAGTACTATGTTGCTCGAACTTTTCAAAAATGTCTCTGGATGCATGTTGGATCGTCCAAAAGTTGTGCATTTTTAGAGGATCCAACGCGGGTACAACTGCATTTTTGGAGAGTCCAAGCAACATAGCTTTAGGATGTAGCAAGGTACTTGTTTTGACTTTGTAAGAGATCATAGTATATGTTGTTATTTCCTCCTTCAATGAGTTGTTTAAAACTCCTTTAAGGTGTTTTTTTGTGATTTCATTAATCCTCTACTTTATTCTCACGAGTCTATCGGAAACAATCTTTCTATCTCTATACGACAGTGATAAGGTTTGCATACACTATACCCTCTCCCGACCTCACTTTATTGGACTACACTGAATATGTAATTGTTGTTGACTTGTTGTCTAATTTATTCTTCATAGCTAATTAGCTCCTTTGGATAAGTCCTAGATATTCTTGCTTAATGTAATTACAATTACAAAATCTTGCTTAATGCAATTACAATTATATTCTTATTTATATTTTGACTAGAATATTAAGAGAAAAAATCCTTAACTAATAGTAGTACTGTCATATGGATCTTGTTGTTAGACTAATTTTTTTAATAGCAAATGCCTACTTGTTTTTTAAATTAAAGTCATACTCCCATGTTCACCAAATGAGATGGGGGAGAAGAGAGTGAGGAAAAAAAAAACATTATTAAGCAAAAATATGTCCTCTCACACGCTTTGAATACGTGTAAATAATCAGAGGCGAATCTAGAATTTCAAAAAGACGGGTGCATCATTGTCAAGGGAGGCTCTGTCCCTTTAAGAAAAAAAACAACTAATTTAGGCTTTCAAATTTTAGGGGCCTTATTTATTTTAGCAATAATAAATATAGGTTTTTCAAAATAAAATATTAAATACATTTGCAAAATAAATAAATTTTATTATAAGAAAAAGTCATTAGAAGAATTTTAAAAAGGCTGAATGCAGAAACTCTACACTCAAACCAGTAAACCATCTAGTTGTTTGTGTTCATGGGTTCCTTCGATTGCTATTTGATATATTTTAAAAATTATACAAGTAATACATCGATTTTTGTCGGATGACCACGGGTTCAGATGACCCATTTTTTAAGCTTAAATTCGCCCTACATACAATACACCAACCTTTCGAGTATGGTTAGTTTGTTAATATTAAATGCGAACTTCTTGTTTTTATAAAAAAATATTCAAGTCAGACCCAAATATTCACCAAATGAGATGTGAAAGAAGAGGGGTAGATAGAAAATATGTAATCTCACGAACCGCGAATTTTGACTTATAAGTCATAGAACTTAAAGGGAAAAGGATCTGAAAAATATTTCAATTTTGACCGAAATTACTGTTACAATACCAAACTTTATGGAGGATCTTTTACCCCTGCACTATTTAATAGTGTATTTTAAAGGTATATATGTGCCCACGTGAACATCATAAATATTGCATTATTTTAAATAGTATCATAACAGCAATTTCGATCAAAGTTGGAGTATTTTTCAAACCATTTTCCCTAAAAATAAGTACTTAAAAAAAACTTTTTTTTTATTTCACCTAAACACTACAAAAGTAATTAAAGCTTATAAATACCTAAAATAAGTCAATTCAAATAGGCTCTATTTGAAGTTGTGATTTTTAAAACTTCAAATTGCGTTTGAACATGCATTCATTCTTGTGATGTTCCGAGGGTGGAAGTTCCAAAACTGGGCCAATTTTTGAAACTTTAAACTACTATCAAAATCAATCCAAAATCTACGATCAAGCAAAATTCGATTTGTCAAACCTGATCCATTTATCAACGCCCACCCACCCAATAATCCGTGACCCGACCCATATCATTGACCCAAAAACCAGAGAAGATATTTAAGTAATCATAGATAACAACCGGTTAATCTGTTGCACTGCTGCTCCACTTTGAACCACTCAACTCTCAATTTCTCAAGTAACTCCATATTTCTTCTCTCATTCATAAGAAAAAAAAAAAACTCAGCTCTTTCTAAACTTAACAATGGCTTCAACAGCTTATGGTGGTGGCCTTTTGTGCAAAAGTAGAGTTTCTTCTTTGATGAGTATCTCTTCTTTTCCTTTGATGCAACCTAGAATCAGACCAGGTCAGTAATACGCGGAATCAGGATTTGAAGTTTATAAGTTTTGAAACACCACATAACTTGCTTTAGTTATTGAGTTTGCAATTAAATATTTATACGTATTTAATTAATTTTCTAATGCAAATTAGGATCTAAACATGAGTTACTGGGTTTCTGTCCCTGAGTGAATATCTATGTAAGGTGTAGTTGTTACATATTGGCTTTTCCATTTACTTGTATATATTCACTCCATCATAATTTATGTAGCAGCTTTTGACTTGACACAAAAACTTTTGAAAAAATGAATACTTTTGAAATTTGTGGTTTACGAACATTTAAATATTTCTGTATGTAAAAGGAAAATTTTAAAGTTAAATTATTTTTAATTATACAAAAAAAAAAGTGTGTAGCATAAATTAGGACGGAGAGAGAGTATGTAACAAATGTTACTCAATCAATCAACTGTGACTCAATCTCAAACTAGTTGAGATCGACTATACAAATTCTGCTATGTTTAAAAGATTCTATGTTTATGTTGGTTGTGAACTTACCAATATCCGACTTCTTAACGAAGGCTAATTGATCAAAATAAAGTTTGGTTACTTTGCTATACTCTGAATTGCTTTATAGGTAGAAAAGCCTTGCAATGTCTCATTTTGCAATCTTGTAGAATCAATAGCTATTTATTTTTTTGAATCAGTAGCTATTGTTGTATGACTAAGAGATAATTTATATTCATGATCCAAGATTGCTCCTTTCCTTTCTCGAAGAGAATGGTTTAGTGAAAAAAAAGGTTTCGGCTATAAGTTAACATCTTTGTGATGAAGAAAGGGAGGAGACATTCTTTAAATCTTCCAAATTCAACGTGTCATATTTGTTATGCTTCATTATATGAAATTGGAGCAGGTTCAGAATAAGCCAGTGAATTCGTCCATTTAAAATTTTAGTTATAGGTGATCATGTTGGATATTTTGTAATATATATAGAGGTCTTAAATTGAACAGATATATTTGTTTACAAAAGAACATGACTATTATGAAAAGTCATCTCTAAAGTTCTATAAATATAAGGACTCTCTAGAAGTAGCCTAAGAATAAATTTGCAGGTATATACAAGGGCTTTGTTGTATCCCGAAGGGAATTGCTTGTATTGTCCCCAATATGTATACAGGCAATATCTCTTTATAGAAAGTGATTTTTCACACCTCAAAGCATTTCTTCTTCAATTATATTTCCTATTATTTTTCTTACATATCCTACACCTACAAAGAGTGCACATCATAATTTAATTAATGCAAAAGAGTTTATCTCAAGAATGTGAGTGTTTCCAACAAATTCCTTATCACGCTTCTTGCATTTTGTAGATGTTAATTAGTGTTAGAAATCTGATAGAGTTATGGAGGAACCTTTCATGTTCAACTTTGAAATTCAAGTTTCAATTGGTTGATCAAGAAATCGTATGTTATACGTTTGTCTGACTTGCAGAAATAACTTACTCCCAGAGACATCTCAGAGTCGGAACTTCCTCTCTCCTAAGGAATGTATCCCACAACATGAGCATGAAGAAAGTTCCACGTATGATCACCAGAGCTAGCTCAGAACCGAGTGGCAGTAGCGATGGAGCTCTTGGCCAGGATAAGGCATGTTGTGTTTGCATTCTCTTTTATGAACTATGCATATGATTCTTTTTTTTTTATTCTCGCATCATCTGTTTGGAGAAATTTCACTCCGTTTTCCTTATTAGAAGTATGTCCTCTTTTCAATGATTTGATGCTGATGCAGACACCATTTGGATATACGAGAAAGGATGTTCTATTGATCGGACTTGGAGTTACCCTTCTAGGGGTTGGCTTAAAGAGTGGATTGGAGGTACTTCTATCATTTGTTTACATCTTCAGTATCTTTTTCACTCATATGGTTCTTCTTTTTTCAATGGAAATAAATGCTTCTGTACTTTGTGAAAAGCTTTTTGGGTGATAATTATTAGTCCATAGGTACACCAAAAGAGAGTTTATGTTATCTAAGGTGTATATGGATGCTATCGCAGTTTTAGGAAGCGGTTTCTGCCAATCCTTCTTTCATATACTTTTATGTTTTGCTTGTGTTCCGGTTCAATATATGCTTGTCGGTAATAACTTTGGTCCAAATATCTCATGCAGTACTTGGGGTTTGACCCTTTACAAGCTGGAAATGTAGTTCAATTAGTCCTGGTCTTGGGTCTAACAGTTGGATGGATCTCAACATACATCTTCCGGGTTTCAAACAAGGAAATGACATATGCTCAACAATTACGAGACTATGAAAGCAAAGTCATGGAGGTGCAGTATTTTGATTAACGTTCAACTAATCTGTCTGTTTCACTTATTCTTTAGAATGACATCTTCTGTTTGCTGAACATAATTTTAAAGAAACATACTAATCAGATGCATAGAGATTAAAATTTACAGTAAAACCTTCTAAGCTTTACGTAATTAGTAAATATCACACTAACTTCAACCACATATATCTTTTTTATTTTCTTCTATCTACCATTTAATTGAAAAAACAAACGAGGCTAAATATTTCTTTGATCAATTTACTGGTCTTGCAGCTGTTATCCTTTATTGTGTTGTGAATGATTTTTAGTATTTTCGAAAGGGGGTCAAGTTAAGAGTTCATAGTAGAGGAACATTGACCTGAACTACCCCTATAAAATGTAACATTTCATGTTCCATCAAATTGATTCATTCTAGCACTCTTGCTAATTCTTCAGCTGATAACGAACTCCTATATTAGATTGTATCGTGCTAAGGAAAAACAGAACTACATTTTCTGAAGCTAGGATTCTATTGCTAGTCAGTAGTCACAAGCTGAAGCTTGTCATATAGTTTTCGGGCAAAACTGGGATTGCTTCTTTAACTTGAGATATTATTTCTGGCTCCAACCTTTTTTATGCATATTGAATAATATGAAATCAATCTTACCTGAGAGTTGGTTCATCTTAGGGATTATTTCATCACAAGATTTTTCTGTAATTGCTTTATGGGGTTGAGCCTTAACTTTGCCCAACTTGCAGAAACGGTTAGAGAGCTTAACAGAAGCAGAGTTACAAGTATTGCTTGAGCAGGTTGAAGAAGAGAAGACCCGCCTGACTAGTGGCGAAGAGGTCAAATAGATATTTGTTTTCCTCATGGCCCTCATCCTTTCATGCCTACGTATCGTTGGACCTTGTTATCCATGGAAAATGCTCTAGACCACAATGAAGGCTGTACAATAGTCAATATATGTTTGCCCTAACATTTGATGATCATATCCAACTTGATAAACAATTCTGGAATGAAAAAGGTTCCCCTAGGTGGGGAGTTCATGTTCTGTAAATTGTTTAGGATTATATAGAAAAATACATGATATACGAACTATTATGTATCGCTTGTGCATTCATTTTTGCCATTACTATTCAAGCAAGAACATAAATGTGATAAAACAATGTATTGCTTGTGAGTTGTGTATTGATTGTTATCTTTTCTATTCAAGCAAAGAATGGAAGTGTGATAAAGCAACTATTTTGGAGATCATTTTGTATTTCCACCTTAGCCATGTTAGTTCTTAGATGCATACTGATAATAAACATGAATCTTGAGTTCGAACTAAACCTCAAAAGATAGCTCATCTGGTGAGGATTGTCCGAGACCATAACCTCAGCCCATGTGGGAGACTTCCTTCCCTCGTGAGCGGAGGAATGGACACCTGGTGCATGGACAATATAACATGGGGACTAACATAGGGTTAACCAAGAATATAGATGGTTAGACTCTGATACCATCTGAAGAAAATGGTCTTCGAGTTTAACTCAACCTCAAAAGTTAGTCCACGAGATGAAAGATTGCTAAAGATCATATAAGGAGACCACAAATCATTCGATCAACTGATGTGGGAGACTAAACACATTGTTGTACTTACACTAGAAGCCTTAAACATTCTATGCAACTAAGAAATTTTTGGAATAATAATCCATTTGCAGGTATGTGCATATTGAAAGTGTGGATTTCCCTAAAAACTCATGGATGATTGATTTAGAAGGTTTCTGGTGAAACGTGAAACGTGGATACTACAACAACATATTCAGTGTAATCGCACAAAGTAGCATTTGGCTGATGAAACGCAGATAAGGAAAAAAAATGAATTTCATCTCACATAATCATGAAACACTAGGAAAAGAATCTCAAAAAGTTTAAATCATTAGTGAAACAAATGTGTGTACACTTAAAAATACTTTATACTTTCCTCTCTATGTACAGAACTTGATCCCTTTCGAATTTTTTGTCTGGTATATTCATGAATCATCGCTAGAATCAGAAGACGAACTGCTCTTGGAAATGTCTGATAAGAAGTTAGCAGGCAATTTTGGGAATCTGACAGCTCTACTATTTTCCATTCCTGGTGATGATGATCCTCCAACAGCTACAAGTGGTTTCTTTTTCTGCATGTTTCTTGTAATCTCTACACAAACTTTATCAACCATTTCTAGGAAATCTTTAACTATGGCGAATAGTTGAAGTGGTTGCCATCCTTTATCATCTGTAGCTCCTGCTTGATAATAATCTGTTGTTTTCTTTACGAGTTCCATTACTCTATCTTGTTCGTCTCTCACTGTTTTCATTTCTTTTTCAGCAGCATCCAGGAATTTCTTCATCTCTTTTCCGAATAGTCCTTTAACATTGTCGCGTTGTGTCAAATGTGTCCTGATTTCAGATATCTGAGCTGTTAGCATCGGGCACGTCTTGGACAGCAAGTCATAGTCTATTGCAGCTGCTTTCTTTACATTACTAAATGCAGAACTTAGGCCACCCACAATTGGTAAGCCAAGCATCATATACTCCTTCTCTGTCTCATCATTTTCTGTAGTGTTCTTTGATGTTGGAATGGCGCTGTTCGCAGTAGTCTGGCTATTGCTACGCTTCATACTTTGATTACGATTGAGAACGCAACGTTTTCCTTCTGCTCTGACTACTTCTTGCACAACAAAGTGAAGTAATGTGGTCTTACCATCCATACTTTTCACATCAGAGAGTTTTCTGAGAGCAGTAAGTTTAAATGCTTGTGCATTTCCTCTTGAAGTTCCGGCATTCATTCTATTCCCTGCTTTCAGAATGGCTTCAAGAAGTTTCAAGAACAATCTTTGAGCTTTAAGCTCCTTGCAAGACAATTCAAGTGTTTGTAAATACTCTTTATGATGCTGAATTTCTGTCCCATAATTTGGTCTAAAAAGCATGGCGTTGAAACGAGTAAAGGCGGATGGAACAGCTTTTAGTATATGAAAGAGGAAAGATTCAGCATCAGCTAATCTGGTGGGATCTCCTTCAAATGCAAGAACTTCTGCTTCCTCTTCTTTTGTTGGAGCTATTCTGCAGAGTTTCTCTAGAGTATCAACACTTAAACCTTGTCCATCGACAAGTGCATCGATAATCTCTTTACGAGTAACACCAAGAGACCTGAGTACAATTGCAATATTTTGTGACTTCCTGGTTTCAAGAATGAATATCTGAGAAGGTGGACCTGATATATCTGCTCTTGGACTCAAAGCTCTACTTTCTGTTCCTGAGGGCTTTTTATTTGTAGCAACACATCCAAATAAAGCCTCCATAAGATCTCCATCAAACCTACATGAAAGGTAAACAATGATTGAGTACAAATTATACATATGGAACACAAAAAGGAGAGATGAAAAGATGTTTACTTGAACGATCCACGATCGAGTTTGTCCCAGACCATTGAATGCTCAACATTAGCATTCAATTTATCCCAATGCAATGGCTTTAGTTTCACTTTATCATTTCCACTTCCTGAAGCCCCTGAACTTGATGATGAAGGCAATCCACTAGGATGAGTAGGTGGTGGAGGGCCTTTCTTTAGTCCTGGTGGCGGTGGTGGTGGTGGACCAGGCGCCTTTGGAATCGCTGATACAGACAATGGCGGTGCTGGTGGTGGTGGTGGTGGCGGAGGAGCTCGTGATTCGAGTTGACTTGATGATTCTTGTTTCTCCATAGGCTTAAAAACAATCCCATCCTCAGGAGTTGGTTGTTTATTTTCCAAATCAAGCCAAGAAGGGCTTTGAGAAGTTGAAGATTTGCCTCTAAGCAGAGGCAATTCTTGAATTGGATGATCTGATTTCTTCCGTCCACCGACCCCTCGACTGATCATCCTCTTCTCTTCTTCTTCATCTCTCAATGCATTAACAAACACTTTCTTCTTCTTGAAACTCTCTTTCCTCTGTTCACCACTTTCCAATTTCCTCCAATAAAGCACATCCAATCCATTTTCATCAACAATCACCCCTTTTAAATTCCCTTCAAATTTCAAGAATTGATCTTGAACAACCCCAGGTGTAGCACTAGCACCAGCACCACTAGTACCACCACCCCGTGGATCACCAATCGCGCTACCTTCTTGTTGTTTTCTCCTACGCCTCGAGTACCTAACAAGGAAAAAGAACAAAAGAGCAGATAACACAACAGTACTAGCAGCAGTCACACCAATAGCAGTTCCAACAGCCTTGCTTGATGATGTATTTGGTGTTGACACGGAAGGCGGTGGCGCAAGCGTATCAGTGGGGGCCGGTGGAAGTAGCGGAGGAGGAGATGATGATGACGGTGGTGATCGTTGAACGGGTGGAATAGGAGGAGGGAGAAGATTAGGCAAAGGAAAAGGAAAGAAAGTTTCTACATTTTGTGATTGAGATGAAACATTTGGAACAATTGAAAGAATGTAAAAAATGAAGAGATAAAGAATCATAGAGAGGCAAAAATTGATAGCCATATTGTAAAGAGAGTTTTTTGAAATTGAGAAGAAGAAATTTGGTTTATGTTGAGCATTGTTGTTGAAAAACTCTTCTCTCTTTCTTGGATTTGGTATATGGTTTTCTTGCTGACACTTTCAAAAGGGGAGTAGTTAATTTTTCCCGGTATTTTAAGCTCTTTAATTTACAAGAGAAATAATGTTGCAAATGACCAAAATACCCCTTACCTAAACCGAAAATTATATTTTATATAAGCTGACGTATATTGCAGAGGCGGAGTCAAGGTTTCAATTTTATAGGTTCTGACCTTTTTTTTTATGACCATGGTTTCAGGGTTAACTTTCGCACGGGATACCTGGCACATCTCACTAGTAACATGTACTCCCTCCGTTCCTATTTAGTTGTTCATATTTCCTCTTTTAGTTGTCCCCATTTAGTTGTCTATTTTGACAAATCAAGAAAGGACAATAATTTTTTTCCTATTATACCCTTATTTAAATAAAGTTGTCATAAATAAAGTAAATAAACTTATGAACTTCCCAACATTGATTAGTTATCTTGAGTTAATTTATTTTGGAATTGTAAATTGTATTGTAAGGGTAAAATTGTAACTTCACTATGCTAATCATTGTTGTCTTAATCTGTGTGACATTTCTAAAGTGGACAACTAAATAGGGATGAAGGGAGTACTAGGTAACTCTGTGGTTCTGAAATTTAGAATGATGATTTCAAGTGTTGATTACTGAGTTTGGAATTTAATGTGTACATATTTAATAAATTTCTTATCATGAGTATATTGATTGAGCAAAAGTTATTGAATTTGGTCAAATTATGTATCTAGATTTCTACCTACGCCTTAGGTGATTGATGGGAGCGAGTCCATTTGAATTCATTATTTTTATATATATCATAAACATTTATGTGAAAAACCTTGGATACTACTCTATCGGTTCATTTTTGCTGGTTCGATTTGAATTTTACATATGCTTTAGGGATTGTTTGGTTACTTTAATTTAGTACACGTGATTAGGTGATATATAATTAGAGTTAAGTTTTGGAATTAAATTTAAGAAATAATAATTGATATGGCTGTTTAACCATAATATTTGTATTGATTAATGTTTAGTCTCATATCTTGAAAAATGATTTGAAAAATAAATAATTAATGTTAAGAGTAAAATGTGAGGGAAAAAATATGTTTTTCTCTTAATATATTTCAAGTGATAAGTACAAGTATGAATATATTTATAGTACAATGAACAAATAAAAATAAATAAAATTTTAAATCCGTATTTTCGACGAATTCAAAACGTTGAACTCACTAATTTTAAATCGTGAATGTAATATTTGTGTACTATACATGACATATAGTTGTGAAAGTAGCTCAGTTCGTTTACTTTTTCTAGTAGTAATTGGCCAAAACATTGAAAAAGTCTCCATATTTGCTGGCTTTTCCCTTTTATTTTGACCATATTTTAAACACTAGGGTTATGCCTATGCAATTATTTTATTCTTATATATTTATATTTTCAACAATTAATTATTAATGACATCTCATAGAAATAAAAAGTCAGAAGGACTCTATCAACATAAATTAACGTACCAACAAATTTGAAAAATATAGTTTATGATACGTACTTTTACGTAACAGTAATATTTTACAAAAAAAAAATTAGAACTTTTTATTTTATTTTCTATTTTGGGGTTTGATATTCATATTGGAGCCGATTAAATTCGAATTCGCCTCGAAAAGTTCTACATTGGGTAAAGTGCTCCCTAACAAAGTAGATTTCATATTCAAGGAAACTCGAGCCCGAGTCTTATGACTAAAGATGAATGAGTAATTACTATTCTACTATAACCGTGGTTGGTAGAACTTTTCTTATGATAGAAGGAGCTTGGAAAGAAACAAATAACTAGTGGATTTATTTAATTATTTATTTAAGTTGGCTTTTAAAAGATTATTATAGTGAATAGAATTGAATTGGCAAAATAATTATTTCTTTAATTGTGTGTGGCCAAACAAGGACTTAGTTGACACATCATAGGAAAGTTGTTCACCAAAACATAATTTTTGTTATCTAGAAAGATCTAAGCAAATACATCTTTACTTAATCCTTTATAGGAAAGTTGTTGAAAAGAGACAACTAATCTTTATCTAATCATAATCATTTTTTAATAATTGTTATTAAATATCTGATACCTATTAAAGTTCTGATTAATTTAAATTTGTATCGCATAAGATTCATTTCGAAAAAAAAAAACTTTCAAAATTTTCAATTTGAGTTTTTTTTTTTTTTTTTTTTTTTTTAAGAATGAAGAAATTTTATTTATCTTACCAAATTTTTTCATTGAATTTTTTTTTGAAAGTCAATGAAAACACCTGGTAACCTTTTACACTTGTTGGATTGTAGTGCATGTGAGTTTTTCAAGAGAAGTTGGCATTATTCAATAGTCAAAGATTGTCTTGATTTCATCAAATTGGTGCACAGTAGTCATTTATAGTAGCTCAGAAATTTAATGTGTTTGCTTGAATCTTAGGACCATTACTTGTGACTTGTGTAGGTGGAAAATCAATGAGCAAAAAACAAAAAACAAAAAAAAAAAAGGCAACTCATATGTGAGAATAATTATTTTTTTTCTTCCACTTGTACGATCACATTACGTACTGGCTCAAATTTGAAATCTTTGATTAAGAATGGAGTACTCTTAAGTCTCATTATTGCACCACACAATTCATGTTGGTTGTACAATCACATATTAGTTTTTCATTTTCTCTTTATACGCTCCTTAAAAATCATAAAAAAAAAAAAAAATTACTTATTTGCTTGTTAAGAAACTTTTTTAGAACTTTACAAGCTTATTTAGTTGTAAGATTAGAATAGGAAAAAAATATTTATTCTATTTTAGTTTTAATTTGTAAATTGACAAGTAATTTGAAATAATTATTAATGACGTAGACAACTAATATGAGGCGAGGAAAGTATATAATTTTTTAGTCTTATCCGATGTTTTATATCTATTTTTTAGGTACCAATTAATTCAAATTTTGTATAGCATAAATTCTATTAAATGGGGAAATATTCTCTACTAGATGGCTTTTTAAAAAAAAAAATTCAAATGCTCTTTTACATTAGTTTACAATAGAATAGGGATTAGGAAAGATTCAACTATATGTACTATTGATTATGATGTATTAACCGCTTAATTGTTTTTTTAGAAACATTAAGAAAAAAACGAGTGAATTCTCTAACAATTGAATATAATTTGAGCAATTTGTCTGAAAGGACATTTGACTATACTTTAGTTGATCGTCACTTTAATCCGTATAATTAAAATGTACGATTATCTCTAAATACCAATTATAAGATAAATTAGTAGCACATTCAAATTATCAAATTTTGTATATGTAGAAAATAAGTATAAATAAAGTTATATTAACATTTCGGAATTTACTCCCTTAAACTGAAAATAACATTTAAATTTTGAATCTATTACTAAAATAATTGGAACTAAGAGACGGATCTACCCCTAAAGTAGGAGGGCTGCGTGCCCCGAAAACCTCAAAAAAAAAAAATGTATATGTCTTAAATATGAGGTATATATTTTAATTGACATCATCATTCAAAAAGGTCGGATGACTGCATTATTTATTGATACAAAATGCACAAATGATTCTCACATTCTGAATCCAATTGGTATAATTTTCCCAACATTTTTGTAGCTTTAGATCAATAGTACATCTATTAATCTCAAATTTTAAATCCACCTTCGAATGTACCACGTTCAATTCATGGTGTGTAAACCTATATTCTTGAATTTTTCTTATTGTTTGACGACTTCAATGTCCACATGAAAATTGTTAGATGAATTTGATGTCATGCACGGACTACGTTGATGTGATAGCAGCCTTTTAATTACTTTAGGTATTTTGTTTCTATAGATGACATTTTAGAGTACTACACTAAAAACTTTGTTTTGAAGTTTAATTATACTATAAAGTAATTAGGATTAGGTAACTCCAAGTGACCCATTCTTGGATGAATCAATTTGTAGATGAATAATCATCGGATAGATAGAGTAGCGAAGTCAGAATTTTCACTAAAAAAATTAAAATATGAAAAAGTAAATATACGAAAAAATGATGATTCAATATCTCTCTCTATATATATACAAAAAATTTGATGATAAATATGATTTTTCATTTATTTACCCTACATGACTCCGTCCCGCTCAAACATGATTTATAGTTGAGGTTTAGAACACATGATCTCAAAAACCTTTCGCAACCCCTTAACCACTACACTAAACCTTCAGCTATCAACTATCAAGAAGTATCAACACTTATATATATATTTTAAATAAAAATAAATAAAATTTAACTTATCTATACAATGTAATATTTCAGTAAAGGGGTATCACTTGACACCCCTCGAGCAAGGTTACCTCCGCCCCTACATGAAGTGCATAGGAACATACTTATGCTCAAGTTTAGTCAAATACATAAAATCATCTAGTATATAGCATAATCATAATATCATGAAAACATATAATTAACTAATTAAGCATTATATCAAAATAATTACCACCAAGCATACGATCGCCTCCTTCTATATCAAGCTATTAAACACATTTTTATATTTTGTTATATATACAACTTTACAAATTATAAAACTTTTCAAAAATAAGTAATTCGAATTTTAGAATCTCTACTTGCCTCAATCAGAGCCGAGCTTTGTCAACTCATCACTTCAAATTGTACCTTTTAATGGTTGAATAACAAATGAGAGTTGTAGATCATATTAAATTATTAATCAATAAAAGCAAAAATAGAAAAGAATAATTAAAATCCATAATTGTGGATTTCAACTACTCATCGAAGAGCATTTGACTTTATAATATTTTTTCTTTTTTCCTTTTATATGAACGGCGTAAAACTTATTTTCTTGTCCCAAAAAAGATAATCTATTTAGACAATTGCTAATGATAATAATTATGTTATTACTTTCAAAAAAATCTCTATAGATGATTAAGGAGCTTTCTTTT